TTACTCGTGTTTGATATATTAATTGGAGATGATTTGGCAGCGAAGTAAACTAGATGTTTCTTTATTTTCTTTAATATTGCTGTCATTCTTAACAAATGTCATTACAGATTTTAAACGATGTTATTGAACACAATATTTATAAAATAAATATTTAAGGTAAAGTTTTTGTATCACCTATTTATAGAAACTGTGCAATTTTCTTATCTTTTGGTGAGAAAATATTATGTGATTATAATTTAATCTCTGGGATGTAGTTAAAAAGACAAAAAAAAAAAAGGAAAAAAAAAAGAGAAAGATGATCCACTCCAATAAAATAACTCTAGAAAAGATGATGCGTTGTTCTCTAAAGACCTTGGATATTGTGTTGAAACACCCTTTGATTTTAATTAAAAAGTTAGCCATGTTATATTAACACATCCGAGATTGTTGGACTTGGAACGATATGTTTGACATCGAGTATCTAATTAGTTTGAGATGAGATTTTTTCTTTTTTTATTTATACGTTGGGGGAGAAGGATGGTGAATAATTTTTTTTTTAAAAAAAAAAAAAAAAAAAAGAAAAAAAATTATAAGGAATAATGGTGAATTTAACCCTTGTTTGCCTCTCTTTAATAAAATTATGTATTTCTCATATACATTTTAACCACACATTCATATAATAAAATATTCTGTACGTAAAATAGAAAGGGAAAATTGTAGCAACGGTCCCTAATCTTTTTAATTTTTTACATACTTTACCCTAACCTTTATTTTGTACCAGTGGAGGTCCCTAACATTTCATAAATATGTACCCGAAGTCCATCTGGACGAAAACCATCTAAAATACCGTCAGTTGACCTGGAAAATTAAAAAAGAGGAAGTTTGACCATTTTAAGGAAGGGCAATTATGTCCTTACACATTTTCCCTCATTCAAAAGGATAAATTACATTTCCTATTAACATTAACAAAGACAAAGGAGCAAACAGTTACCTTCAACGATGTCTGAAGAAGGAAGCCCAGAATCCAACTTTAATGTTGAAGATATCGTGTGCCACATACAAGGCCCTCTTCCTGAACCTGTGTAGGGGTGAGTGATATTGTATTTTGAAATTTCTGAAAACATCGATGCTCCTTGTTGTGCAAAGGGCATTGAAGTGGTTTCATATAGTGAAATTTTTCGTATTTTGTACTATTTTATTGACTTGGTTATATCGTAAATCGTGTAATCACAATGAGTTTACATTGTGCAGTGGACCAGATCACATTTCCAAAAACATTCAATGTGTGATATATTCTACTTAATAACTTATGTGAGGCATTCTACTCCTCCACACTTGTTGCAAGGGAAAAGCATATTATCTCACTGCTAGAGAAAATTAGGCATTAGCTAATGATAAGGATGAATATGAAGAGGAAAGCAGCACATAGATGGGATCATGCTTTTGATCATAGAATTATAAATATAATTGAGAAAGCCAAGTTAGATGCAAGATACTCGAAGGCGGATTATGTTGGTAGTGAGAAGTTTGAGGTCAACAATAAAGATGGTATTAGATGGAGTATAGACTTGGTAAGACATGAATGTGCATGTAGAAAATGGCAACTTACTGGAATTCCATTAACTCATGCAATCTCTAGTATGCTTTCTAGGAGCATTGACATATACAAGTACGTTGATGCATGCTACACCAAAGAGACTTATCTCAAGACCTACAGTCCAATCATCCAACCAATATTCAGTCCTGAGTTATGGCCAAAACTTGGTAGACACCATCTTGATCCACCTGTAAAAAAGAAACATGCAGGTAGACCAAAGAAGATGAGAAAAAGGTCCCAAGTTGAGCCACCTGAGGGAACAAAAATAGCAAGAACGAGCATGAAGATAACTTGTAGAACATGTAGAGGAATGGGCCATAACAAAAGAACATGCACTGTCTCCTTGCCTGCAAAACCAAGTTCCCAGCCAAATTTAGAAGCAAATACTCAACCACAATCATAGTCAACACCATCACAAGGCAAGAGAAAAGCTTCTACATCCAAGGACGCACAAAAAGAGGCAAAGAAGAAGAGACATTGAAAAAATACTTAGCTCTACTGATGATCTATTATAATGATCTATAATCTTTTGATGATGTTTTGGTATGTTACTGATTTCGCAATCTAGTACAATGGTTATCTTTTGTGAAGTTAGACCGACTATGTATAATGCTCTTTTGGCGATGTATATTGGGCATTGAAGTAAATTGCATGTTCATCATTTCAGTCATTACTGTTATACTTTCGAATTTCTTTTTTTAATGTTTTCAAGGTGAATAGGTGTGGAAATGTTCGTAATTAGTACATTGTATACAAAACTAGAAAAAGGTTAAGGATCACCATTGTAACTTATTCAAAGGTTTAGGACTTCTGGTGCAACATGCGTAAAAGGTTTTGGACTTCTGCTGTGACAAATGATAATGTTTGGAAGCGTCTTTAATAATTCAGAAAAAGGTTTTGGATCATCGCTGCACCATCTCCATAACGTTTAGCAATAAAAAATTTCCTTTTACCCTGATTCATTCCCTTTTAGGAAAGAAGAGGAAAATAGGAGAAAATGATCAAAGTACTGCTTAATAACAACATATTCTATTATTCTTAGAAAATAAGTCAAAAATCCACAAACCATACAATTTGTGACACAAAGACCCACATAACAACTCATAAACCCAACATCTTAACTCAAAACTAACTCAGATCTAGCTGCAGACACATTTCACAAAAAACTCCACATACAAATCCAATCAATTTTGTCTTCCATACACTATGGCTTCTAGAATAGAGAATGTTTATTTCAGCTTCCATCTCCCTCCTAACCTGTAAAAATCCAGGGATCTGCTCTTTGGATCTTGCACACATTGGCGGGTGGCACCAGTCAAAGAAATTACATCCACTTGCATCCTGATGCCGTGGGCAATCGACAAACCTTCTTCTAGGGTTCAAGTTCGTCTATGAAGTCTTTATCTCCATAGGAAACCCACAAGATACAAGCATTCATTTCCATTTCTTTTCTAAAAAAGTTTCTAACAGTTAGTAGATGAGAGAGGGAGAATAAATATATATATATAGAATAAATGAATTGGAAGGAAATGTTTAGGGATATAAACATATAATGAGGAAAAATATGTAAGGACGAAATTGCCCCTCCTTAAAATGGTCAAACTTCCTCTTTTTTAATTTTTCAGGTCAACTAACTGTGTTTTGGACGATTTTCGTCCAAATGGACCTTGGATGCATATTTATGAAAGATTAAGGTAAAGTCTGCAAAAATTGAAAAGGTTAGAGACCACTACTGCAATTTTCCCAATGAAAAACTAACCCTACTTTTAACAACACATTTTTCAAAAAATCAATATTTAAACACATCATTTTCTTTCAATTTCTCTTTATAATAAACATCAAATAGGGGTTTAGTCCACATCTTACATGACTATTGTATAGTTGGTTTCTAACCTTTAAATTTTGGTGCAAAACCCCCATAGTTATCAATTTACTCTGAAAAAAGTCATTTTCATCAAATTTCGTCAATCATTATAAAGTCAACTTCTCTTTAAACAAAAAGACTAAAAGGCCCTTATATCACTACTCTCTTGAAAGAGAGAACGGCAAAGTCACTATTCATTTGTGCTCTTCCCTTTTCACACTGAACTTGCTAAGTAAACTAACTCATTACTGTTCATCAATATCTTCTGTAAGTACACCACTCCAGTTCTTTTCTTTCTTACAAGGGTTAAATCCACCCCATGACTACCTAATTATAAATTTAGTGTCATTATGACCACTCAATTTGATTTTGTTTCATCATGACTACTCAACTTCATACTTAGTGTTATCATAGTCACCTAATTTGATTTTATTTCATTATGGCCATCCAATATCTCCTATAAGTACACCACTTCAGTTCTTTTCTTTCTTACAAGGGTTAAATCCACCCATGACCACCTAACTACAAATTTAGTGTCATTATGACCACTCAATTTGATTTTGTTTCACCATAACCATTCAACTTCATACTTAGTGTTATCATGGTCACCAAATTTGATTTTATTTCATTATGGCCATCCAATATCTCCTGTTCGCCAATATCTCCTATAAGTACACCACTTCAATGCTTTTCTTTCGTACAAGGGTTAAATCCATCCATGATCACCTGACTATAAATTTAGTATCATTATGGCCATTCAATTTGATTTTATTTCACCATGGCCACCAACTTCATACTTAGTGTTATCATGGTTACCCAATTTGATTTTATTTCATTATGGCCATCCAATTTCATTTAAGGTTTCGCCATGGCCACCAAACTTCTTTTCACAATTTTTTTATTAATTTGAAAATGGGTAAAATGGTAACTTTACATTATATATATAAAATACATTTTAAAAAATAAAAATAATAGTTTTTTATTTTAAAATTATATTTTTAATGTTATTTTATTTTTCTAAGTCATGTTTTTTCAAAGTAAGTTTTTTATTTTTTTTATTTTAAAACGTTTTTTAAATAAGTTTTGATTTTATTTAGAAAAAAATTAAATTAAATTTTAATTCTTTAAAGAACTTTTTTTTTTTAAAAAAATAACTTTTTTATGTAATTTTATTTTTCTATGTAACGTCTTTTTTAAAATAAATTTTTATTTATTTTCTTATGTAACTTTTTTTTAAATAGGCTCTTATTTTATTTTTTAAAATAATTTTTTATTTTTTAAAATAAGTTCTTATTTAATTTTTATTTTTTAAAATAATTTTTATTTTATTTTTATTTTTTAAAATTTATTATATATATATAATGTAAAATTATCGTTTTACCCATTTTTAAAACTACTGTAAATGGGTAAAAAAACTGGGTAGTCATTATGAATTATATTAAATTGAGCGATCATGACGAAATTAAATATAAAATTGGATGATGATGATAAAATAAAAATAAATTGAGTGATCGGACATTAAATAATTTGGGTCACCATTGGTGTGTTTAACCCATGCTTACAACGGAATTTGCTACTTTTTCTTTCTTCTCCAGTGCAAACGAAAGTAAAGCAAATACTAAACTTTCAGTCTGCCCAACACCGACGATAGCCGCTTCAAATTCCCTTCGTCGACGCCGCCACTACCTCTGAACAATGGTTGTGCAACTAAAGCTTTACCACAGTCTTCTCTGTCATACACCCAATACCGAACACCGCTATCGCTTTGGATTTTGCTACAAGTACATAGGGGATACATAAGGGTGTCCATTATGGACACCCTTATGTACCCCCAATGGACAACAAGATTAATCCTATCGCTTTTTCTCAAGACAATTAATGGATGGAGATCGCAAAATTGAAGTAATAAATGCTATAAAAAAACTCAGTTTTCCAACTGTCTGTCCAAGACCCACCTCGATTTTTCTGTTCGTGGGCTCAATTCTTAGGCAGGTAACAATTAAATTTACTAATTTCTCATTTCTCATTACCCAAATTGATTTCAGTCACTGTTAATTATCCATATCCTACATTAGTTTTGTGATTTCTTCTTGGATGTTTGGAATTGATAATAAGTAATAAAGAAATATTGAGATCGACGAGATATTTGGGGATGCAAGGTGGGAAAATGTCCCCACAAAGAGCGCAATCTTCGTTTGGGGATATAACCAATCGGGTCAAACAGGTAAGACGGGTAAAGAGCACAACTTGAGGTCCCGAGGCAGCTTCTGCTGGAGCTTTTCTGTTGTCCCGCGGGGCCCGCCGACGAAAATTCCGGTGGCTTGATATTGCTGGTGTCCATGAGCACACTGCTGCTGTCGCCTCTGATGGCTCGATTTTCACCCGGGGTGTCTAAAGTGACATTCCTTCTTTATCATTTAATTTATCACAGTTTTATTACTCTTCGCTATGTCATATCCTTCAGGATTTTGAACTTTTCAATCAAATTCAATTTACTATTTAAAAAAAATGAACACACTTACGGGTTAGCTGGCATTTTATATGTTTTCTTTTCTTCCTATTAGCTGTAGTGGGAACTTTAGTTAATTGAATAACTGGGGATAATAAAGTGTTTAAACTTGTACACCAGATTGTAAATTGGGTGGAGGAAGGGTAAATTAGGCAATAACATATCAATTCTTCATGCTGAAAAATTGAGTGGAGTATACATAAATAATTAGAATATAATATAGTGGCTCAATCCTAGCTTCAAGTTTTGCCGCCACCAGTTTGTGAAAAGTACAGGACAACTAAGTAAGCAATGCTGAAGTTACTAGACATTTATGTAAGAAAAATTTGTGCTCAACAGACCAACTATTACAATATTCCAAATATATGTGCACTTGTACATGCAGATTGTTGAAGTTTAAGGTTTTTTTGGTGTACATTATTTCTTCCTGGAGAAAGCCTTTATATAGGTAGATTACATAACACAGATCCTATATCAAAGGAATACATCAAGGTATATCAATCATTTCTCCTATAATATCTCTCTCTCATACAGGAAGATATACTCCTTTCCATACAAATTACCTATAATTTAGCCAATCACATGCTAACACTCCCTCTCAAGTTGGCGCATAGATGTCTTCTAAGCCTAACTTGTCCAGAGATTTATGAAGAATTTCAGTAGAAACTGCATGAGTTAGAATGTCTGCTAGCTGCTCACTTGATCGAATGAAAGGAATGTCCACCAACTTCAGATTCAGCTTCTCTTTGATGAAGTGTCGATCTACCTCAATGTGTTTAGTTCGATCATGTTGTACCGGATTATTAGCTATTTCCCGAGCTGCTTGGTTGTCACAGTATAATAGCATAGGTTCCTTTGGCTTGAAATCTATTTCAATAAGCAAGATCCTAAGCCATAAAAGTTCACATATCCCAACAACCATACCTCTATATTCTACTTCTGCTGAAGATCTTGCTGTTACATTTTGTTTTTTACTTCTCCATGTGACAAGATTTCCAGTAACAAATGTAAAGTAGCCAGAGGTGGACCTTCGGTTAGTGATGTTTCCAGCCCAATCCGCATCGATAAATCCTTTCACTTTCATATGTCCATGTCTCTTGAATGTCAGTCCTTTTCCTGGAGCTCCCTTTAGGTAACTCAAAATTCTCATTACAGCAGCCATATGATCTTCACTTGGAGCATGCATAAACTGACTTACCACACTAACGGCATAGGCAATGTCTGGACGTGTGTGGGACAAGTAAATTAATCTTCCTACCAATCGTTGGTATCTTTCCTTGTTGGTTGGTACTTGTTCTGGGTAAATGGCAAGGCGATGATTCTGAACAATAGGTGTCTCTGTTGGTTTACATTCCAGCATACCGGTTTCCGATAAGAGATCTAGTATATACTTTCGTTGTGACAAATATATACCATCCTTGGACCTTGCAACTTCAATCCCCAAAAAATATTTCAGTCCTCCTAAATCTTTCATTTCAAATTCAGAAGACAAGCATTCTTGTAGCCTTTTCATTTCATCTGTGTCATCACCAGTTACGATCATATCGTCTACATAGATAATGAGCAATGTAACTCTACCATTCTTACGTTTGATAAATAGAGTGTGATATGAGTCGCCTTGGTGATAGCCAATTTTTTTCATAGCATCTGTGAACCTCCCAAACCATGCCGTTGGCGATTGTTTTAAGCCATACAATGCTTTCCGCAATCTGCAAACTTTTCCACTAGAATGTGGAGTATTGAATCCAGGTGGGAGATGCATATACACTTCCTCTTCCAAATCTCCATGAAGGAATGCGTTCTTTACATCAAATTGTTTCAAAGGCCAATTAAAATTCGCTGCCAAGGATAATAAGACTCTGATGGTGTTCATTTTGGCAACTGGAGCAAAAGTTTCTTGATAGTCAATGTCGAATGACTGAGTATACCCCTTTGCTACTAACCTCGCCTTGTACCGATCAATTGTCCCATCTGCTTTGTGCTTGAGGGTGAATATCCATTTAAAACCCACTGGATTTTTTCCTGAAGGAAGTGACACAACATTCCATGTGCCATTTTTTTGTAGTGCATCCATTTCAGCTTGCATTGCCTCTACCCATTTTGGATTTTTTAGAGCTTCGTCAACCTTTGTAGGTATTTTTATATTTTCCATCTCATTTACAAATGCTTGGTGTTGTGGTGACAACCTATGTGTAGAGACATACTGTGTGATTGCATATCTCACTTTTCCATCCGGAGAGTACCTATCAGGTGGTTTTCCACGATTTTGTCTAGGAGGCAAAGAATAAGATGGAGCAGATAATAAAGGAAGGGAAAAAACTCTTTCAGGTGTATTTACCTCAGGAATATCCATTTGGCCTTGGACGTGTACTTGAGGAGAGGAGGGGGCTGCTTCATCATGGTCATCTTGTTGTTCACTAGATTCAACAGAAATATGTTCAGAGTTATGTACCATATCGGGCTTAAGGGCTGTATCTGGGTCTTGGTTTTGAGCTTGGTCTTGTCTTTGAACTCCCTCTGAACCAGATAACTCGATGTTTTGTGGAAGATCAATCCAGTTGTAAGCCTCACATTGCGGCTCCCCCCGAGGACTAGAGGTGGAGTGATCTATATGGAAAAAATATTCTGTTTCGGAGAAGGTAATATCCATGCTAACATACATATGGTGAGTCGGAGGATGATAACATCTGTATCCCTTTTGATGAGGATGGACACTGAGAAACACACAGCGCACTGCACAAGGATCCAGTTTGGTGCGTTGGTCTTTTTGTAGGTGAACATATGCTACACATCCAAATACACGTGGATCTAAGTGTAGCAAGGATGGAGTCTGAACATGTTGAGCAAATACATGTAGGGGAGTGTGAAACGAGAGGACTCGTGATGGCATCCGGTTCATGAGATAAACTGCATAGGTTACAGCATCAGCCCAATAATTTTGAGGAACACTAGCACCAATAAGAAGAGCTCTAGTGGTTTCAAGTAGATGCCTATTTTTACGCTCTGCAACACCATTTTGTTGTGGAGTACGTAGGCAGGTAGTCTCATGGAGAATACCATTGTTTTGAAAAAAATTGGAGAGTTCAGAGTTAAGGTATTCTCCACCATTGTCTGATCGAATGACTTTAATTGAAAGAGAGTACTGGGTGCGAACCATTTGATAAAAAATTGGGAATATATTCCGCACATCACTCTTGTGTCGCATAGTATATAGCCAAGTCATTCTGGTGCAATCGTCTACAAAGGTAATAAACCACCGAATTCCAGATTGAGTAGTAATTGGTGCAGGTCCCCAAACATCGGAGTGGATCAATTCAAATGGAGCTATTCTTTTATTAATACTTGAAGTGTATGAAGCACGATGACTCCTAGCCAAAATGCAAATATTACACTTAAGAGAAGATTCTGAAACATCACCAAATAAAGATGGGAATAATTTTTTTAAATAACCAAAGGAGGCGTGTCCAAGTCGATGATGCCACAAACAGATATTCTTTAAATTATTATCAGTCTGGCTCTGAACTTGATGAACATGACTTGAAGCAACATCATCTACATAGTATAGCCCCTCCTCTTAGTACCACGCCCAATAATCGCCTGAGTTTGGATATCCTGAAGTAGGCAAAAAATGGGAAACATTAATACAACACAATCTAACTGTTCCGTAATCTGACTAATTGATAATAAATGATTTGATAGTGCAGGAACAAGTAAGCAATTATGTAGTGAAAGAGTGGGGTTAAGGGCTATAGATCCTGCTCCAATTACTGGAAGAGGCTCTCCATTGGCTGTCATGACACTATTCTTGGAGGGATAAGTCATGTGTTGAAATAGAGTTTTGTCGTAAGTCATATGGTCTGTGGCACTCGAGTCAATGATCCAGCTTGTATCATGAGCCACAGATGCACAAAAAACCATGCCAGTGTTACCTGAGGTAGTGGTAGAGTCATTCAAGGACATGTGGTTGACTAAAGAGAGTAATTCACCCGGTTCAGTATGGTCATTTTGACCTGTTGTCATAGCAGCTATTCCAGGGATAGTATCCATTGAATTTGCTACCTTTGCTTGGCCTAGACGCTTATTGTTTCGTGCTTTATTTTGCTTTCGTTTTTCTAGAAACCAGTCAGGATAGCCATGAATTTCAAAACAAGTATCTTTGGTTTGGCGAGTACCATTGCAATGACTGCAATGCAACTCATCTTTTTCTGCATCCTCAACAGCTCGAAGAGTGCGATAGTTAGACGAGGTGGTTTTGGAGACCATTGCCATGGACGAACCTTCACCAGTATCCCTTTTCCAAGCATGGTAACTTGACGTTGAGCCTCTCGTCGAATAGTATTGAACCATTCTTCAATACCTGGGACAGGTTTCATTCGGAGAAGATCACTTCGGACATAATCAAACACCTCATCTAATCCCGTAAGAAAGTCATACATCCGATCTTTCTGAGTTTCTTCTTGTCTAGTTCGGAGATCTGTGGCGCATACCATTTTAATTGGGAGTCGCTTATCGATTTCTTGCCAAACACTGTTGAGTTCAGCATAATAAATGTTGACTGGACGTCCATTCTGCTTTGTCCTCATGGCCTTGCAGCGTAGTTCATAATATTGGGATTCATCAGCCCCATCATAGAAAGTTTGGGTGATACTATCCCAGATTTCCTTGGCTGTTGGAAGATCAATAAACAAGCCAAGGAGATTTGGTTCCATGGTTTTCAACAACCATCCTCGCACAATTGCATCCTCAGTGCACCACTTTGAGTAACCAAGATCTTTCTCATCTACTTTTGGGGTCTGTCCATTCAAATAGCCAAGTTTATTTAATCCTGTAGCATGAACTTCAATCATTCGTGACCAGATTTTGAAGTTTGTATCGTTCAATCTAAAACCAAATGGTAAGCTGTTGAGATTGGGTAATTCAATTGGGTTGGGAGTTTGGTTCATAGTGACAATATCAGTATTTCTGTCATCCATGGTTGGTCCCTTGTTTCAGGACCAATTCTGAATGAGGAATTCGGTTAGCCTATAGTGGCGGCTTAGGGTTTATAAAAGAAGTTTGGGATAGGCTCTGATACCATGTTGAAGTTTAAGGTTTTTTTGGTGTACATTATTTCTTCTTGGAGAAAGCCTTTATATAGGTAGATTACATAACACAGATCCTATATCAAAGGAATACATCAAGGTATATCAATCATTTCTCCTATAATATCTCTCTCTCATACAGGAAGATATACTCCTTTCCATACAAATTACCTATAATTTAGCCAATCACATGCTAACACAGATGAGGGCACTCAGGTTGACTATGATGGATTGGGCTAAAGCAATGTCAAATTGTATTGAGTTAATATGTATATCGTATGAAATGTCGAGTCAACAGTGCATTGAAATAGTTGGAATATGCTATTTAGACTGTTTTCGACATTATAATAAATGGTTTTCAAGTCAGTTTTTATAATCTATCTTGAAATATGTAGACTGGAGTGATACCTAGACATAGTGTCTCTATTAATTGATTGTTTCATATTTGATTATGTGCTGATTTGTGTTACTATATGCTTTTTAATGATAAAATAAAGGTACTCCATGTTCTTGTTCACTTTAATATTTTTTGAAGTTATAATTTTCAATCCTTTTTACATTGATAGATTTGGACATCAGCGATATAATGGAAGAAGCCAAGACCAGATGGCTCAGACCAAATGAAATTCACTCCATACTCCGTAATTACAAGTATTTCACTATTAATCTCAAGCCTGTGAATTTGCCAAAAAGTGATACATTGGTACGCTTATGTTTTTTTTCCTTTTTCAATCTTCTATAAGTTTACCTTATAATTACTATTGGGAGTTTCGTTTTCATTTTTCTACTTCCGATTGAATGCTAATTCTCTTTTGCCTTATTGAAGAGGGAGGTGGAAGATTGGAGCATAGCCCACAAATTGATTGAAGACAATTTGTAATGTCGTCTATTGAACGCTTAGCGGCTGATTTTTTCAATTCTTGAGGCGGTGAAGCTTCCTTTGCACCCAAAGAATCTAAAAATTATATCCACTGCTTCTCTTTTTTAACCATCTTCCTGTTAATGCTGTCTACCTTCTCCTTGTCTACTTTTCCCTTTGGAAACAAAGAAATACTGCATGCAGGAGTCTATGATTCATGTTTGTGTATTGCACTGCACAAGTAGTTTTGTTCACTACTATTTAGAATTTATTGTTAGATTCGAAGTTATAGCATTCTCCATTTATATATTGATGACTTTGATGAGGAGAAATATACAACAAATTAACCATTAGGATTAGTATGCAAGTAATACTCTATTTCATCAACTATTGCATACTATTAGATGTAAATAACATATTTCTTTGCACTTTACCGCACCGTATTTTGCATACCTACTTGGTGCCTAATGGTTTAGAAATAACGTACTTATTGTTTGTTTAAACCTTATCAAGTATTCAGTTTCTCTGATACTGCTACTATTATTATTATTTTTTATTTGAGATCTTTTATGGAAAAATAGCATCATTGTATTCCAAGAGACAGATTTATAGAAATGCAAAAAATAAAAAATTAGCAGACCAAGTTGATGTTGAAAGGGTTTTAAAAGCCATGGGAGCCTTTCGATTCGGTATTCACAAACTGTTGTTTTTGGATTGTATTTGAATTCCTGGTTGTATTGATAAACTTGCACCGTCTGTAATAGTTTGCTTTTAGATTTGATGGCCATTTAATGTGGCATTAGAGTACGTAAGTTCATTGCTACCTCTGATGGTATTTTGATCAATGTTCATAAAGTTGAATTTTTTTTTTTTTTTTTTTCCCCCCACTTTGGTCTTGTAATCTAATACAAGATTATGATACATTCAAATGTATTTTGATCTTGCACGTGTATATTGTTAGAAAGAAAAAAGAATGCAGCAAAATACAAGACGACCAAAATCTATCTTTGGAAATACTTGTGCGGTATCTAGAGAGTACATTGTATGATTTTGCTAGGATGGATATTCCAAGTCCTACTTCTACGAAGGCAGGATTGCCCTTTAGACCAAACTCTGCAAAATTGATTTCATCAGTTAAAAACTTTGCTTCCCCAAAAGAATTTCATTGGGGGATATGATTGGGAAATCACTTCTTGCAGTAATTAACATCAATTAAATGTTTAAATTTTTTAGCACCTTTTAGTTTTTGATCTAAGGTGTTTCTTAGAATTTTGAGGTATTACTATTACTATTTTGTCGTCAAAGGTTGTACTATTCCACTCGTTAAACTAAATAATTTATAAAATACGACTCTATTTTGTGATAGTTAGTATGTGATCCTTCGTGAAACCCTGGATTTTCATTCCAATTTGATCACCTGCAATTGTTGTAGTTATTGGATAGGATTCAATACATAGGAAAATGACTTCTATCCGTATTGACACGTTTAATTTTAGTTATTATATAGTTTATAATTAAAACGATCTTTGTAATTGTCTAATTTGATGCTTTGTTCACTTGTGTTTTTTTTTTTTTTTAAACTTTGCGTTCATTTCGTTCATTGTGCTAAAGATAAGAGCCTCAGGGTCAACGGACCAGTCAAAATACCCTTTTAAGGCTCTCCACATCACTACTAGAAAGCCACCCTTTAGCACAATGAACGAAATAACCGAGGGATGCAAAGGATAGAGTGAGGTAGTCTCAATCTTGCTGGTAGTCGCAGTGTGAGGGTTCGAGTCCTGAGATATGGAATTTGACTCTTTATGGACACCAGTATACGGGCAAACTCTTGTTTTCTGGCCTATTGGAGCACATCTTGCAATTTACCTCCTTCACTATACTCCAGAGACAGGGCGATGGGGGGTCCCTCAAAGTTGGGATTTAACCTTTTAGAAAGCCACCTTTTGGTGAAGATATTAATTTCGGCATGAGTCTAATAATATGCTTCTCTTTAACATGTAAATATCCTTATTATCATTCGTTGTTTGGCAAAATGATGCTGGAGTGGGCAAATTTTTGAAGATGTGATTCCGTGTCATGTTCTTTAATGGATGTGTGGTAATAGGTAGGTTTATCAATTATTTGGTATAGGTTAGGGTTGTAAGCAAAAATCGCAAAATCGGAAAATCGAACCGAAATCGCATTTTAGAAACCGTCGGTTTGGTGCCACGCGGATTCGGTCAACGAAATGGTTTTGAACCAAATCGAATCGGTCAAAATGGTTTGGTTTAGGTTTGAGAATTTTAATTTCGATTTAAAACCAAACCGGACCGGCGAAAAAATATATAAAACTTAAAAAATTAAAAAATAATTTTTTTTTTGAAATTTTAAGCCTTTAAGTGGGCTGTAAGACCATAAATAACACATAAAGTCATAAACCCGACCCGACCCGACGGATTAAAGAAAAAAAAAAAGAGGAAAGATAAAACCCAAACACGTCTCACAGGTCACATTAATAACAAAACCCTAAAAGTCTAAAACATAATTCCAATTTCCAAGTTTCTCCGTCTCTCACTCTTTGACTCTCTCTCGCCGCGACGCCGCTGTCTCTGAAGCTTCAGTCAACTTCAAGTGTCGCCGGACGATTAAAGGTATTTTTCATATTGGCTTCATTGTTCTTTTATAGTTGCGAACATTCTCACCTCAAAGTCCTAACCCATACACAAACCCGATTCTTCGATGTCTTCAGGAAAATTCGAATTGGAAAGGGGAAATTATAGATAGTGTTAGTTTGATCCTCAAATTTTGAAGACTCACAGTTTGGCTGAATTTATTGGGAGAAATTGAGGGGTATTGGAACTCTAATGGCAACAAATTCAAACCAATTGATGATTCAACAAATCCTATAAATAAGGAAAATCCAAATCAGCACGAAGATCCATCAGCTTTTTCAAAACAGATTTTATGGAATAATATGTTAACAAAGCATATTTTACGGGACAATATGTTAACAAAACAGATTTTATGGGAGCAGATCTTATAGAATTATATGCAGATTTTATGGATTCATAATTTTTTTTGATTTACAGCTACATTATGTAATTTGCTTAAAATACTCTCCTTTGTATTGCCTAAGTGTTCACATTGCAATCATTGAAAATAAGAAACATTAGCTTTCAGAACAAACATGTGTATTTTTTTCAGTTTCTCCTTAATGCCTTCTTCTTGCGTGGGAACCTGTGTTTACTGCTTTACTTATTTATAGTGAACAACAAAGTTTCAACATCTTTTTGACGATGCTTCTCTGATATCAGGCTCTTACTGACATATTGAAAACAAACCAAACCTTACAATCTGCAATTTTTTAGTCTAAAAATGATGTAATAAAAGGATATACACTTGGTTAACCTTTGTTATAGTCAAAACTCAAAACCCATAATTTTCCATTTCAAAAGTTCATATATATCTGTTCTTCTATGGAATTTTGCAGATTATTTTTGCTGATTTGATCCATACTGGCTCATCTTGATTTTCTTTTTCTCTTGGGGTTTCAAAGATAATTTGTCTTACTGTTGTTGCTTATAATTGTATTTCCTTTAGATTACATGTTTTTAGAGATAATCTGTTAGCTGAACATAGAAATTATGTTGAATCCTCATCTTCTGTTGATTGCCTGTTTCTCTGTGGTGCACGGCTAATGATTTACAATTATGACAGATGCTAAGATGTTATTATCAGAAATGGAAAGTCTATTTTAAGAGGAAGAAACTGGGGATTTCTATGCTTAATAGTTTAAAACAAATTTTAGCTCAAGCACCTTGGATCTTATGCATGTTAAATTTATTGAATCTGTCTGAAATTGGCCGCGGATATTTAGATAATTGGTCGAGGTTTTTAGTACAGCATGTGTGTGGCTTAGATCTTAGTTTTAGACATGATCTTGAGGTGCTGTTACCATGCTTGTTAAGAGCTTAATCAAATTGAACCCACTTCTTTCCTCTTGATAGCAGATAGACCTATTTTTACCTGTACTGGTGGATGATCGAAGAGTTGGGGTGTCGTTACCATGTTTATGCAGAGAAATAAGAATAGCCATCGTATTGGATTTGGAAACTACTTTTTGCTCAGGAGAATGTTCTGTTTCACTAGTATACATTTAAATGCAACCTCCTGGTCACAAAAAATAATTACTACTCTAGCTGGGCTTCCAAGTTCACAAGTAGATATCCACTTGGTAATCAAGTATTCATTCAGAAAAAATTAAAGACTGATTAATTCAATTTCTTAGCTATTTATATCCATATACATGCATAGCTAATATAATGTTTTTTTAAATCACATACATGCGCCTCCGATTTTTAGTTTGTTTTACTTCAATTTTGTTTCTTATGGATGATTCAGGAATTCAACTACGCCAGCTATATACTGCGTATCTTGGTTTATTGTTGTTCAGGGGAAAGATTTAGCCCCTGTTGACATATGAGCATATCTATATTTTAATCTGCTATTGTTAGAATCACAAATATGAATCATGTTGACCTTTCTGAAGAAGAAAATTATCTTGAGCCAAATGTAGTTGTTGATAGTGTAGAAGTTGATCAATACCCAGATTCCGCTAAGGGTAAAAAGGGAAGTAAAAGATCTGATGTTTGGGATCATTTTAAACTGCATGATGAAAAGGCAGAGTGTATTTACTGTGGGCAACTTTACAAGTATGGCAACAAAAATGCAGGGACTAGTACATTGCGAAACCATATTGAGTGCTTATGTAAGAAATATCCATATAGGGTTCCAGAGAAAAAGCAAAAGACTATGAGTTATTACACTAAATCTAAAAATGATGTTTTAGAAGGCATTACTAGTTCTGGACAAGTTGTTAAGTTCACTCAAAAAGGGATTAGAGAAATGATTGCTAAGTACTTCTTATTGGCAGAGTTACCATTTAGACATGTACAAGATGAAGGTTTTCGATTATATGCAAAGTATTTTTTTCCAACATTTGAATTTCCTTCAAGAGTTATAGTGGCAAAAGATATATATCAATTGTACCTTGATGAAAAGAAGAAACTGAAGAAAGAATTGAGTAGACATAGGGTTTGTTTAACTACTGATTGTTGGACATCCATTCAAAATATTAGTTACATGTGTTTGACTGTTCATTGGGTTGATGATGACTGGATCCTTCAAAAACGTATTATAAGCTTCATTCAAGTCCCCAGTCTTAAGGGTAATATGGTGGCTAAGGAGTTAATTTCTTGTCTTCATGATTGGGGAATTAAAAAGATTTTTTGTGTGACTGTTGATAACGCCTCATCTAATGATGTTGCAATATCGAAATTGAAAGAGAGTTTTCAGGAGACTAAACATGGTCTAA